TCAGAATTCACTCAAATCCATCGGATTGTAACTACGGAGGTAATTTTTGTCAAAATCGTTTTTTGAGCTACAAATCTCGTAAAATTAAACCATATGTATGTGCACCAATCATAATGTGGTTAGTAATTATCACTTTATCACCATCACACCTGTTCAAAAATTTAGTTTTCATTCTAAAGTCAGGCATCCCTATTTTTTTACTGAAGATTTTCATTCATTTCAATTTCATTTCACTTCACTTCATCCGAGTTCATTTCTTACTTCGCTCCATGTATTAAGCATAGGGCGAAAAATTTTGACATTTTGCCTGGATATCACAGGGATGTCCTATATTAAGAAACGTTTCACGAATAGTTCCACATTCGCTCAAAACTGTACTGACCCCACTGGGATGGTTCGGGTAGTAGCATAACGTCCGAGTAGAGCCGTTACAACTCTTTTTAAAATAATTACCGAATGATTAATGGCGAATTACATATCACTTACACATATAAAAACTTCTTAAAATTTGTTAAAATCACTCAGTTTTATCATGGTCGTTCTATTTCAGAATTCAAGATTTTAACCGGGTCAAAGTGATTGGAAACTTAACGGAAAAATGGTTCGTAACGAATACAAAGTTGTGGACAAAGGAAAAACAGATGACCAAGTTTTCACCAAAACCAGCTACATAAATTGATACAAGTTTATGTCATATCTTTACAAAAAAGGTAATCTCATCCAAGAAGTCGGAATCATACAGGTTTCAGCAAACAATTCTGCGTGTAAACAACTGCATCCGGTATCAATATAGGCAATTTTTGTTCATGTCATTTTTACTAATGTGCACATCCTGACTAACTTGATAATAAGTATTATGGTCGAAATTTTATAATTAGATCCAATTCTTGATAATAAAGGGATACCAAAACTGGTGAAGATTTCCATGAGCTATCGCCGGTAAAAAACATCTTATTTTATTTTCCGGTGTTTTAGGTCTTGGCGGGAGGATTCAGAATATATATACTTTATACGGTCTGGGACCACCCCCTGATTTTCTAGAGACTGAAAAGTATCATCGAGTTTTCGTCAGTCTACTGTAATGTTAACTCTCAATCTGCTCGTGTGTTATCGTCCGCATACAAAGAAAGCTTAAACTTGATAATACTTTTCGGTCTCTAGAAAATTAGGGGGTGGTCCCAGATACCATAAAGTGTATATATTCTGAATCCTCCTGCCAAGACGTTTCCAACGATACCCCAATTATTGGGTTATGTGAGACTTGACCTAATGACCTTTCCCGTTGTTTCGCAAAATCTTTTAACCTTGAAAAAAATTAAAATTTCTTGACGAATCTAAAACTACAATCGATTCAGATAAATTTTTCCCAAATATGACGAAAATCTATCCAGGATTGATGTAATTAGAGCTATTTCCAGAATGGTGATGGATAAGTCAACTTTGTAAGTTGACCTTGGGTCATTTTCAGGTCATGGACTATGGGTGGGGCCTAGCGCTTCAGGAAGACTCTGAAGCATGCCCTGGGGATTGTCCTTGCGAAGTTTGCCCGCAGTGGGCCTTTTGGTTTCTTCACAATGGAGGGAGAAAGTTGACAAGTTTTGTCGAAAAAAGTAGTGCTTTCGCCCATGCCACTACACGTAGGGGGTCATGGAATTTTAAAAATTGACCAAATCGAATAATTAAATCCCGGTGAACAGGTTTTCGAGCTAAAGCACCGGAAAATAAAATAAGATGGTTATTACCGGCGATAGCTCATGGAAATCGTCTGGTCTAATTATAAACGTCAATTCGTCGACCTAATACTGAAAGGGCCCAAGTGCAGTCGATTCTTAATTCCGAAAGTCGATACTTTATTACGCAAGGAAGCAATACAATACACAATAAAAACTATTGAATGGTGTTAAGTTCAATTTCAATACAATAAATAGATTAATATCTTGAGTTTCTTATCATACTATCGTTTATTTTCAAACAAGTCAATGTAAATACAATAAATAAGATTCAGTTGCGTAGCCTTATTTATTATTTGTGTCACTAAAGAATCTTCAGTAGTTTGGCCTTGCAATTGTCTCTGGTCACTACATCTTGGGTGAGAAAATCACAAAGAAATTTACTACGAGAAGTAACAGCCAAACAAAAATGGTACAAATCGTCGCAAGACTTTTGACTACAAAAAGTACATTTCTTTTCATCCCTAAATACGCTCAAACTCTTTCTGAAATATAATCTATTTACGTTAAGTCTCACTTGTGTAATTAATCGTAACTTGGCTAATGGAATATTCGATAGATCTCTTAAACATTGATTTTCTCCATTGTTGCACAATAATTATATTACCGTGACAATTTTGCTTGAGTAACATCCCATTCGTGTATAAAACTTGTTACAAAATCCTCAATAATTGTTTTGTGAATACAGATATTTGAATTCCTGGTGAAAATAAATATATGTGATTTTGCAGATTTAAGTGTAATTTTATGTAAGCTTACAGACAGCGGTGCAAATATCTCAGACAAATTCTGACTTACGAAAAATCAGCGACTGTCATTTACTGGGTTTGTAAAAAAAATTCTTTCTTACATTCATCAAAGGTCTACAAAATGACCAGATCGAATTTAAAAATGGATTCCCTGAGCCGAGAAATGATTAAAACTGTGCAGATTTTTAGACCTGTGACGTCACAGAGGATGAGTCACCTAAGTCAAGGTTAATGTTTTGCATGCACATCCATGAAATGCATCAAAATACTTATCAAATTGCTTTCTGCATAATTAATTTATTGTATTTCTTCTACAAATGCTAATTTCTATCCACGATAAGATAACATTGGTAAGTTTTAAATAAATTAGTTGGTATGTGTTTACATATGTTTGCAATTGGTTGCATTGTACCGCACTGTAAATTGTTTCGTTTATGTTTCATAAATAAAATTTTAATATAAATAAAATATCGGCAAGCGCCAACTTCTTGGTAATTATGTAAGTTCATTAATCATTTTACATGCATATATATCCAGACTTTTAATTTCGAACTAGAAAATTTAATTCCACCAGAACTCGGCACCTGCCTATTTATGCTGCAGAGACTTATTTCCCAAACTCTCATTTATTTATTTCGTTGGAGTGAAAGTTCAATTAAGTTATGTATGAAGGTGAGTTTAATAATAAGTTGTCTTTCCTAAGGAAATAAATTATTTCTCTGACTTTATTCCATATTTATATAGATCACTTTAATGCATTTTTTCACACAAATTTCAGGCGTCATTGTTTTCCAAGCGTTATATGTTATTTGCATGTGTACTATTTGTCTAAATCTGCTTTACACTAGAAAAATTAAAAAAAAGGTTTGCCAATACATACATACAGTGTCGGACAGATGTCTACGTCCACATAGTCGCGTCAATTTCATTTTCAAATTGTCACTGAACTACTGAACCAATTTTCATCATTGATATATCAAATTCTCACAAATTTAACGTAATTTCATAGCACATTATTAGTTTTCCGCTAAAAAATTTATTTTAGGCCAGAGATGTATTTTAATTCAAAATGAAAACAATTGGATGGACAAAAGTCAACGTCCAGTCAGAGAAAACATACAAAAAAAACTGTAATTTATAAGGAATGTTATAACAATTAATTTTTAATATTTGGTTGGGCCTCCGTTCGCTTTAAGGACGGCTTCAAGGCGTCGAGTCATTGAGTTTACCAAATTCTTGGTCACATCTTCAGAAATGGTTTCCCAAACTTCACGAATTCTGGATTTAAGGCCCGGAATTCCTGAAAAAGATTGTTTTCTTATTTCTCTTTCAATGTGGTCCCACAGATGCTCAATGGGATTCAAGTCTGGAGATTGGGGAGGCCATTCTAGCTTCGGAATTTTTTTTTCTTGAAGTATTCCATGGTGGACTTGGCAGAGTGTTTCGGATCGTTGTCTTGTTGGAAGGCAAATCGTCGTCCAAGTCCAAGTTTTCGAACAGATTCCTGGATATTACGGTCAAGTATTCCCTGGTACTTGTATTGGTCCATAATTCCGTCAATAAATTCCATTTTTCCTGCCCCACTTGAAGCCATGCATCCCCACACCATTACCGACCCGCCGCCGTGCTTAACTGTGGGGTTGAGATTTTTTGGATTCAAAGCTTCTTTTGGATATCTCCACACTCTACGACGCCCATCTGACCCAAAGACATTGAACTTTGACTCGTCAGTCCATAAAATATGTCCCAGAATGTTTGTGGCTTGGAAATGTGGTCTCTGGCAAACTTCACTCGTTTGGTTGCATTCCTCGGTACAATAAGAGGCTTCCGGACTGCTCTGTGGGATTTCAAATTTCCCTTATTCAGTGTTCTTTGGATGGTCATAGGACTAACCTGTTAAATTTGTGAGAATTTGATATATCAATGATGAAAATTGGTTCAGTAGTTCAGTGACAATTTGAAAATGAAATTGACGCGACTATGTGGACGTAGACATCTGTCCGACACTGTATGTACAGGGTGGTTTAAATGTCAGGTTACAATGGAAAATTTTTCAATTGTAAAAATTCGTAAATTTCCATCAGTTACGGATTTAGATTGAGATTTGTATTAATTTTTATCAAAACTTATGGAACACTGATGACAAAATTCTTAAAATATTGAATTTCAGAGGCAAAATTTAAGTGACTGGTGGGGATTTGCGAATTTTTCGCATTGAAAAATTTGCCATTGTAACCTAACATTTAAACCACCCTGTACATAGATTTATTCAGCAATCCCCAGTTACCAATGCCTCACTCGTGTTAAACAAGTTATGCATGCACATATCTATGCACATGCTCTTTGTATTAATAAATATTCATGGAATATTATTCTATGCGTATTGATACGCAGCTGCAGCTTCAGGTTGTTTTCGATGAAAAATTTGACGTCACTTCTACCGAGTAGATTGATTACTGGTTAATTAATGAATTATGTATGAAATGCGTTATGAATAAAAGTCGTAATATAAATAGGACTCATTTCCTTCCAGTTTTCAGACCAATTCAATTTCTAAGTTGACTGTAACGTGTAACTGTTGAATTTTCTACCAAAATGAATCCGAAATTTGGTTTACTCGTTGTTCTCCTTGTTTTGGGAGGTAAGTCAAAAGTAATAAACAGGATGCATCATTACTTTTAGAGAAGGGAACCATTAATTAACCTCTTTTGGACTATTTATTTTTAAATAAAATTTCCCTTCGGTACGATTTTGATTTCATAATTATACTACACAGCAACCAACTAAAATTTGCAGCCAGTTTCCAATATTCGAGTTTTTGACGAAAAACACAAAACATCCACGTTTTAACATTGGTCGGTATAGGGAAAATTCCAAAATTTTAGGAGAAAAATATAGATAAAAATCCACCTTTTCACCATCGAGTTTTTCACAAAATACCGATGAAATATTCTTTTTTTAAAGAAATAATGCCGTCAAGGAAATCTCTGAAGTACACACAATTGTGTATTTTGTCGTCCACGGGAAAATAAAATACTATACAGATGTGTGTCCTTCGTCATTAAGAGGTTAATTAACTAAATAATTTGTTCATATTTTGTCCCCAGCTTTTCACTATTCTTCGGTGGAAGCTCAGGGAACATTTGTCGACGCGTGTAACGAAGTGTGCAACCGGAGTCCACCAGAACGGAAGGAATGTTGTCGAGCTCACGGGTACCCTCTGGGCAGAAGGTTTAACTGCAATGGGGGCAGAATGATGTGCTACTGAGCAAGGAAACAATACAATTAAATTAAATAAATTAAGGCTGTATCGACATTGTCAAAATTTGATAAAAATAATGCGGTAGTCAGTAAATATTTTTGTGAAAAAACATTCACCAGACATTTTAAAAATCATGGATATTTATTTAGAATCGATGAAAATTCTCTGCTTAATTAATTTTAGTAAAATGACGTAATTAGTTAAAACACATCTATATTATGTATCTGTGGTATTTATCTAAAAAAGAATAAACTCTTTTTGCCCCTCTGGAAAATATGTAGGCATGGTTTTTCTCTATCATGTACACAAAAAGGACAAATTAACCGCCCTGTTAATTCCCCCGCCCCCACTTCAGATGATACGAAATCAAATTTTGCATTCCTTATGAAGAAAATCATCTTCCCTCTCATACCATGCGTACATATCTACGTAGGTGTTTTATTATTGATTTTCAAAATGTATGTTCCGCACTGTTTCCGACCAAAATTTTGATGAAATTACAAACTTCAAATACAATTAGGAGGGCATGATTTTTTTCAGCTCTTTAGGTTAGCGCAAACACTAGCAATAAATCATCCAACCTTACCTCGACGGAAAAAATGCCAGATTTACAAATTAGATATCGTAGTGTGATTGAATTTTTAATGCTGGAGGGCCAATCCGTGTCGCAGATTTTTGATTGTGTGCTTAAAATTTATTATGAAAACTGCCAAACACAATGAACAATATACAATTTGGTCAATAACTTCAAATGAAGGCAAAAAGAGGTCCTGGACAAAAAGTCGCCAGGACGCCCAAACTCGGTTTCTACCGAGAAAACCTCCAGATACTAGAAAACCAATAATGAGATATCCACGATTGAAACTGTGAGATGGGTGTTCGAAAACCAACAATTTGTTCCATGTTAACTGAAGACTTGGGTACAAAAATTGCTCTCTCCATCCCAAAAACTGGATCGAGTCGACTTTTGTAATGAAGATTTTGACCTTTTAGATGAAAACTGGAACTTGATTTATACTTCAGTAATTGGATATTATACTTGGGTTTACTATTGTGATTATGAGACCAAGCCATAATCTATGCAATGGAAACACAGGGGGTCACCGCCGCCCATGAAAACAAAAGTTCAAAAATCTGCCCAAAAATTGATGATGACCACTTTCAAGGATACCAAAGGTCTCCTCCTGATAAAATTTATTGTAAGAAATACTACGATAAATGGGGCCGCGTATGCAGGAACCCCGAAGGAGCTGCGTCCTGCGGTTGAAAAGAAACGTGGGGTCTAAGAAAAGAGTTGGCCAATTTTTTAAACGACAACGCGCCACCTAAAACTTCGCTGGTTTTGAGGCTGCTCCAGATTAAAATCGCTTCGCAGTCATAAACCATCTCCCGTACAGTACAGACTTGACCCTTAGTCATTATTATTCGTTTCGAAACTTAAAGAAAGACATCAGGGGGAAACGATTTTCGGATGATAATGAAATAAAATCGTAAATTTTTGAATATTTTCGAGGTAAAGTTGGATGATTTATTGCCAGTGTTTGTGCTGACGTAAAGAGCTAAAAAAAATCACACCCTTGTAAATGTATTTGAAGTTTGTTATTTCATCAAAATTTTGGTCAGAAATAGTGCGGAACATACATTTTGAAAATCAATAATAAAAAACCCACGTATATGTGAAATTCACGCTTTAACCTTTTCCTTCGTAAGAGAATTCTCAAAAATACCCCGTTGCTGCGGAATAGCAACGCCTCACAACCATAGCTTGTGGCGTAGCAATTTTTGAATTACCAAACTTTATCACGGAACAAATGTAAATTTCAGTGATACATTCCATGGATATATTTCCAAAATTATTCAACTTTCTGTATAGGCATTTCATTTCAAAAATGACGTAATCATGGAGACATTTTAGCCCGACCCAGGACTTATGTACCCGTGTTGTCCATCCGTCCGTCTTGCGTCTTGACCTTCTTGAAACTTATTCTATCAACTTCAAATTTCGGAAAATTAAAAATGACAAAGTAATAGTACAAAATTTAAAGTCGATAGGATAGATTTACGAGAGTTATTGATAACCAGACAGGCAGAGACACACCGGACAAAGCAGGTACACAACCCCTGACTCGGGCTAAAAACCGAATTTTTTTCAAGATGTGTAAATCCATGGAAAAAATATTTTTTCAATGAGAGGAAATATCCTTCACTACGCAATAAAGTCAGAGACCAAAAGAAAGGATATTTCCTTCTTTCCGTATCTATGCCGAATTTTGAGACAACGGATAAATCCGTTGCTCCATCGCAACGCCTTGGAAATAAGGATGGAAATATCCACTGTTCCGTCACAACGCCAAGTTTATGACGACGGATATTTCCATTGTTCCGCAGCAACGTTCGAAATCCGGGGACGGATATATCCATCGTTACGAAGGAAAGGGTTAAAAAGTTATCAAAAAATTTTATCAGGACAAATTGTGTAAGTGTGGTGTGATGTTATAACATTTAAAATTGTATGAACATAGTTTGACTTTTGTAACTTATTTTTTACATGCTCGTCACCTCAACTTTATCCATCAGAATAAAAGTTCACATTACAAGAGGTTTTGTATTTCAGAAAAACGTAAAAATTGTCTTGTTAAGGAGGCTCAATTTGTACAAAATATTTAACTACTAAATATTTAAGCATAAAAAGCCAAGTTTTAAAAATGCAAAGTTTGGAACTAATAAAATACGTATTTATCTAATCAGCGTTAAAATACGTAAACATTATTCGTCATAAAATCTTGAAATGTCGATATTTGATTCAACTTTGACATCGAAATCCCACGAAGTCGTGTCGAGGTCACCATCAATTTCATCTTCCCCCTCTCGTTTGACCTCTATCTCCACCTTGACCTTCGCCTCTCCTTCTTTCTCCACTTCATCCAGAAATCTCTCATCGTCCGAGTCAATCTCGTCGCCACGTGGACCTTCTCCGTCATCTCTCTTAATCGAAGACACGATCAGTGAATTCGCCCCGACGCCGTGTCTCTGGCGCTGATGAGTTTTCAACCCGTCCCTCGAAGAATGACCAACTTTACATATTTCACAGGTAAATATTTCCCCCGGGGGAAGGGAAGGGTGCATCCTCCCCTCGTGCTGGGTGAGGGCCGCCTTCGCCACGAAGGTGGCGGAACACTGGAAACACGACCAGTTTGCGTGTGCGTGCTTTTCCCGGTGTCGATTGTAAAGGAATTCAGACCGAAATTGTTCGTCACACGTGGGACATTTTTTTACCTCTGGGGCAGCAGCGTCGTCGTCCCCTTGAAGGGTGGGGGGAGGGCCATCTTCTTCTGGGGGAGGTGGTGCCTCGTCGTCGCAATAATTCGGGTAGTTCACCCGGTACAGGAGATACCTCGGTCGATTCTTGCGGGGAGGATATTTCCGAACCCGTACTTGTGGCGTGGAGGAACCTGAAGAAATTTTACATAACATGTGTTAATTAATGAACATTAATTAAAATTAATTAGTGACATATTAATTTATTTTCGGTGCTGTAGAGTATCACGTAAACATTAATTTGTAAATATTTACCAACTTTTCTGAGATGGCGAATAGAAAAATGAACCTCTTTCAAAGGGTAAAACATTTCAGGGATGAAATAAAATGAATTAAAAATGAAGAAACTTACAATGCGATGGTGTTAAGTGTAACGCTCTGATTTGGTTGAAATTTTGGAATTATGTGATCCACTTCAATACAACCAATGTTTCTTGAAGCAGTTTGTGGAATTGGTTAAAATATTTAAGGTCAAAGTTGAAAAATATGCAATTTTTAGCACGGGAAAAGAATGGAAGTTGAGTTTGCATCCTCTGTCTCGTAAAAATCGTCAATTTTTTCAACTTTGACCTAAAATGGTTTAGCAAATTCCGACCATCGCACAAACTTCCTCAAGAAACGTTGGTTGTATTGACTTGGACCACACAATTTTAAAATTTCCACCAATTCGGAGGGTTACACTTCACAACATCGCATTGAAAATTTTTATCCCATATGTCTCATAGTTTCTCATCAGAGTCCGGGTAAATATGTTCTTAAAAACCCCGAAATATTTATGTAAAATGTTCAATCAAATGGCCAAAATATGTATATAAAACATATTTTTAATTCGCTTTAAATTGCCCCAAATTTAGCTTATTTGACTGCAAAAATGCCAAAAAATGCTTTTACATTTCAAAGTGACAAACTAAAAACATTTCAACATGCTCTGGTATTATTTCTACGATGATCAGAATTTTTTATGAATTGTGAATTTCTGAGGTTTCTCTACAAGAATATATTTTTTTTGAAAAAATCGCTGAAATATGTAAAAACATATTTATGTGTATTGAAAATATATATATTTTTGAAAAAATCGCCGAAATATGTAAAAACATATTTATGTGTATTGAAAATATATATATTTTTGAAAAAATCGCCGAAATATGTAAAAACATATTTATGTGTATTGAAAATATATATATTTTTGAAAAAATCGCCGAAATATGTAAAAACATATTTATGTGTATTGAAAATATATATATTTTTGAAAAAATCGCCGAAATATGTAAAAACATATTTATGTGTATTGAAAATATATATATTTTTGAAAAAATCGCCGAAATATGTAAAAACATATTTATGTGTATTGAAAATATATATATTTTTGAAAAAATCGCTGAAATATGTAAAAACATATTTATGTATATTGAAAATATATATATTTTTGAAAAAATCGCTGAAATATGTAAAAACATATTTATGTTTATTGAAAATATATATATTTTTGAAAAAATCGCCGAAATATGTAAAAACATATTTATGTATATCAAAAAATGCTCATTTTCGACAAAACCGTCGAAATATGTTAAAACATATTTATGTATATCAAAAAATGCTCATTTTCGACAAAACCGTCGAAATATGTTAAAACATATTTATATGTACCAAAACCTGGAAATATGTAAAATATGTGAAGACATTTTTTTGACCGTGTGACCTATGCCTGACCAGGAACAATATCCCAAAGTTTCAACCCGATCGGGTTATTATTGAAAAAGTTTAAAATACATACATAGCCGGACTCTGTTTCTCATACCGTGGATTTTTAAGCTGTGGGTGACCAGGCCTTGGTACGAGGAACAGTTGCCATTGCAAAGTCCACACCCCCAATGTCCCCCTCTCGTCGTGCTAAATCTTAAAGGAGGAAAATAAGGCAGACATTTAAACGATTCGATAAGTACTTATCTATTGGTTTAATATTTTGTTTACTCTGCTATGGGGCGACCATCCGGCGACAATTTTCTTTTTCCTCGGGGGGTTATCTTATCGTGACGTTGTGCTGTTTCGATCTGGTCCGAATCTGCGAACGGAGATGAATTTATGGATTCGTGGGAAGTATTTTTATTCCGAATTTCCGATAAGTCGGGTTTGACATCCTCCTGGGTGTCGATATCGGTATCCATTTTGCTGTGGGAGTAGAAATAATGATTAGTTATGTGGATTGGAATTAAAAACGTTTTTTCGGAAATTCTGAAATTGCAATTTTTTGTGAATTTTCTATGTATATTTTTATCAGAAGGTGACTAGAATATACATAAATGGAAGTTAAAATGTGAAATTTTCAAAGGAAAATATTTGTGGTAAATTATATCAATTAAAATTTCAATGTCAAAAATTAATTACCTTATTTTACTTGATTTGCAACTTTGTGATTGTAAACATGTGGCCGGAGTGAACAGATGACGGAGAAAGTTTGCGAGTGAGTCTACCGCTCCAGATTTTCTATGCTTTTCTTTCCGTGTGTGTACATACAAATACAGAGTTTAACATACAGTATCTAACAAAAGTATAGCTACGATGACATATTTTTTATCTCGACATGATGCCGTAATGTTTCAACTTTGAAACTCCGTACAAAAATGTAAAAAATACCTGCCGACAATTTCCTCGTCGCCGATTTTTAATGTCGCAGATAGGTCAAAGGTCAGCATTATTTTTCTAAAAAAATTTGAGGCGTCGAAAAAAAAACTTCGTGGATAATTTTTTTTAAACTTTGCAATATTTTTTACTGGATGCGGCATGCGTTTTGAAGAATAATTAGCTTTGGTCGGACCGTGTACGATTTTTTTGGCGCCCACAGGAATTTTTCGCCCAGGACAGGTTGGAGGTCTAAAATCGCCGCCTTGGCGAAAATTGAAAAACTGAAATATACGTTTGCATATAGAGGGTCTGGATATGCAAATGTGTATTTCAGTTTTTTAATATGTATGACAATATGTGTGTACGAAAACCCTAAAAGATGTAAAATATGTAAAGCTATATTAGAATTTTTGGGGTCGTACTTAGATGGGATGTTAGTTAGTAGACGAAGCTTAAGCACGATCTGATTTAATATGAAAAAGTTATACGGACTTAATAAAGAAATACACATAAAGAAAGATACATACAAAAAAATGCATGAACATAGAAAAATACATCAAGAAATACATACTTATCCGCCCTCTGGTCATAAGACACATTTTGACCTCAGACCACACCCCCTGACCTCGGGAGTGGCTGCAACTGCTTTGCCTACAATTAAACTAAATAGGGATTGAGAAGAGCTTTTCAACGACACCCCACATGATGGGAGTAGTCATAAAACACATTTTGACCTTTGACCACACCCCCTGACCTCGGGAGTGGCTGTAACTGCTTTGCCTACAATTACACTAAATAGGAATGCAGAAGAGCTTTTCAACGACACCCCACATGATGGGAGTAGTCATAAAACACATTTTGACCTTTGACCACACCCCCCAGGGGGTGTGTCAGGCATTACTGGACATACCCAAAGCTACACTTGACAATCATACGCCGAGTCCCGTTAACAGAATTACGAAATATTCGTTGGGTTTAAAGTTATGGGTTTTGAATATAGCAAAGAATATAGCAATCCGGACCAGTGTGCATTCCTGCATTGTGATTGGCTGTTGATATTCTGGCTTCACCAAGGGATATGAATTTACGATTCTGATGATGAATATGATTGATGAACATGATTATGAATATGATTATGACTAACAAATTCCCTAGCAACGTTAAAAAAATTCCTTAACAAGTTTAAAAAAATCCTTAGCAACGTTAAACAAGTCGGCGCGGCATTAACACAATCTTGCATTATTAACAAAATTTCGAAGTGCTAACAAAATTTTGTGTTGCTTTCAAAATTCCTGATAAGTAAAAAGTTCATGCAACGAATATCTGTACGTTGTAATATTAGATATAATTTATAATTATACTAGCCTATAAGCCCGTCTTAAAGACGGTCCACATCAAGTTTTAAAACAACGCAACAAAATAATTCTTTGAAATCACTACATAACTGCGGCGATGTACCAATTACAACCAAATTCGAATTTGAGAGTAAAACAGCATCTACATATAATAAAACATCGAGGAATTTTTTTAACGTTGCTAAGGAATTTTTTCAACGTTCCTAAGGAATTTTTTTGAGGTTACCAAGCCAATTTTTTGGTAGTCGGACAGTTTGGCGAAAACCCTTTTGGCGAAAAAAATTCGCCAAATAAAAATCCCGTTTGGCGAAAAAAAAATTTCACCCACTTTCTGGCATTTTTAGTACGAGGGTTCATGAAGATAATACCACAAGAATTTACATATTCCTGTTATTTTCATATCTTAATGCATTTGCAGTTCCAGAAAAAAATAAACCGTAGTAACGTTAGAAGTAGCTCACCCTGTTATAATGATTTGGATATAACTTTGCACCAAAGGTGCTGAATAAGCCTACTATAGATGCATGAGTTTCAAACAATTTCGCACCATTGGTGCAGACGAAATGGGGAAATACATGCATAATTGTTATATAATTTTGCACCATTGGTGCTATTGAAATGGGGAAAATTAAGACACAATTTTGACATGATTTAGACTTTTTTGGCCCCTTGGCAGGGCCAATATTTCTTCCGGTTATTCTGCACTTTTGATTCATATTGAGTCAATTCTTTCAATTGTTTGGCACCATTTTGCGTTATCGCTTGTTTGGAACCAATGGTGCTACCAATGTCCTAAAAAATGGACATGGTCCTATCTAATTAGCATCAATTGATGCAAAAAACTCATTAACAGACAGACGGACAGACAGACAGACAGACAGACGGACAAGAGGAATTCAATAGCTCTCATGCTAGGCAGGGTGAGCTAATAAGGGTTCATAAACCACGTGGTTTATGCTTAGGCTGTTTAGGCTTTTTCCAGATGGGTACCCATCTGGAAATGTATTATACGTTTTGTTACGACACTTACGACGATTTTATGCTGATTAAGGCACAACAAGGAATGCATGCAACACCCTTTTCCTCATAACTCAGAACAAAAATCCCACAGTGGTACTTTACATGATCTGCATTCTCAAAGTAGGTGGTAGTTAGTTTAAAAAATAATAATTGTACACCATCTCCACCTACTTGTGGTTGCAGATGACCCCCTGGACGTGAGACCCAACAGATAAACGATAATAAGTCTACCATGATGGGCTTTCCACGAAAAAAGTGGTACTTGTTGCAGAGGTCAATTGTCATAATGCTGCGCGTCGTAACAGCGCGAGCAAAATGCTATGAGAATATTCTTTACAAAATTCATAACGGTACGGTCCTACCCAAGTTACAAAGGAAAAAATATAGCAGATTCAATCACTTTTTTCGTGATTTCGTGATTTCGCACCAAGTGCTCCAGACTATAACCCTTAATTTCCTGGAATTTGAATTATCTAATAACACATACAATTGTTTTAATTTTAAGACGTTTGCCTTGAATAAATGCGAAATTTGTATTTCGCCAAATGTGCTTTTAGGAGTTTTTCATTTTCGCCATATGTGACAAAAAATTCGCCATTCGGTACTTTCATCATAGTTTTTTTACCACTTTGGCGAAAAATTGTTTTCGCCAAACTGTCTGTCAATCGATTTTTTGACGTTGCTGATGAAATTTTTTTATATTGCTAAGGGAATCTTTTAACGTTCCTTAGGAATTTTTTAACGTTGCTAAGGATTTTGCTAAATTTGTTAAGAATTTTTTTCTGGTTGACCATAATCGAAATCATAACCGAAATCATAACCGAAACCATAACCGAAATCATAACCGAAATCATAACCAAAATCATAACCAAAACCATAACCGTAATCATAACCGAAATCATAACCGTCCTTTGATTAGTGGAGCCAGGATGCCGGCAACCAATCAGAATGCAGGAATGTCACGGAAAATTTCACGGGACGGACTTTTCGAAATTATAATATAGATTTTAAACTTTTGGCAAAATCTTATGACAAAATTTTTTTTGTAATTGGCTAAATATGTTTATAACTACGAAGTATAATTAAGCAATACCCTAACAGCCTTTAATAAATACCGTAATTCCATCGTGGAAAATTTCCACGATGGAACCAACCAATAAACCATTATTAATTTCAAGTTATTAATTGGAAGATACAATTATTTTCTACCATTATTTACCGACAACCAAAATTTGAGGTCATTGAGGTCACAAAAGGATATTATTGTTCAACCTTATATTAAAAATTCGGTGTATCAAAACTCAACTATTAATGCAATTATTAATAAAATTAATGAGGAGTATAAAAAATCTCAAGCAATTTATGGTTATAAACTAGAAACAATTATAAACCTTAGAAATCCCCCACTTGTTGAATAATTAATTAGGCTATATTAAACTGTAGACAAGATTAATTATATAATTTTGTTACTGTAAGCTCATGAAAATAGTTCTAGTTTGTTTCGCAAAATCAATTGGATAATATGTTCTTTTACTTTTAACCCTGAATTTTGTAATCACTAGTATTAGTAAATGAGGATAATAAATGCTTCTTATTATTATTATTATTAAAAACAAGGCCGTAATTAACAAAATTTCACGTTTTTTTTACTAAATTCGGTATAAGTAACGAATTGTCCCCAATGAATCCATTCTATGTACTACTTATGAGCCAAGACAAATTGCATACCAAAATTACATAATTTGATCGTGGAAAAACTAATAGCGAAGTTGGAATTATTTTGCAATATTCCACAAATTGAAAAAGTGGGATCAAAAATCAAGGCGGCGGCCAAATTCTGGTCCAAAATAATGTTTAAAATTATTTCGAGCCATACTAAAGCAAAGGTTTAGTCAAAATTTGAATTTCTCAAAATTAACTAAAAATTCGCACATTTTGGCTCAGATCTCGAAAAATTCTGGCGCCCCCCCCAATTTTATTGCGGAGTTTTGATATACTCTTCATTACGGAGATTTTAAGCTATCAAACTTGATCATACACGTTAAAAGGTTAACCCTTTAACGTGTATGATCAACGAGAAGAAAATGCATTAAATCGGGGACACTATAAGCATGTTGTGGTCATGGCGCGGGAGAAGAAATTAAGGAGTTTTTAATAAAACTCGAAAAACTGAAAAATCAAAAATTTAACATTTCGTTGTATAGGGAAATATCCAAAGTTTTGGGAAGAAAATGTTCAAATTTAGCATTGTGTTGGCATAGGAGAAAGGGGTGCTGGGGACCGTTGTTTCCTACGGTCTAGGAATTGCAATAATTTGGAATGGTTTCAACGTCAGGTTCAGAGAGAGGAAGCCGTGACCGTTCCTGTTGGGATATTGAGCCTTCAGGGTCTGCCCTGCCAAGGCCGGTAGGCCGCCTACTTGTTGACAGAATTTGTTTATACAAAAATTCAAAGAAATAGCTCATGTTTTTCTAAGATTTCTAAAGGCAAATCTTCCAAATTGAATAAAATGTATGATTCAGAAAAGTCTGGCAGATTTCAATTTTACAGTTTTTAAATTGAATTAAAGCACTGGAAATTCAAGTTATGCGATTTCAATATATTTAGTTATGTGATTTCAATTAAAAGTCTGGTGGATTAAAAA